GCAAATGTCTTGATCAGCAGATTTCAAATCTAGTTTACCTCTCTCTTATGTCTGTGTATGACACCGAATAGTAAATTATATTTCACTAATTGACACAGCCTAAATAATTTGGTAATGGTGAAGAAAACTTCGACATTTACAAAAATACTTATTTATAGACAAATATATATACACACAAACATAAATATAATATTCATATATATTTATGTATCACTCCATTCTTTTGGCCAAAACAATTTGCTGAATGTGATTCAAATTTTCAAATATTTTTTACTTGCCTGAATCTGTCTTTTTCAGCAAATCATGATTCACCAGCAAGTATCTAAATAAATCTTCCAAAAACAAAAAGAAAAAAACCACCCACCACCCTCACACTCACAGAGTTCTGCTTACAATACTTGAGTAACTGTGCACTTTTTTTAATCTGTGTGGCAAGACAAGCAGGCTGAGGCAACTACTTTCTTTTATAACGCAAAATAAGAACCCTAAAGCTATGTCCACTAGGAACAATAGAAGTACATCAGGAACAACAGAAGTCCTAAAAACTTTCTGTGATAGAGATCAGATATTTACATGATTAATAACAAAGTACTGTTAATAATGACGCCATGGAAATACTCAGTAAACTTCTCTGGTTTGTATTTGGAAAGAAGAGAGAGGTTGGACTATGCTGCATGAGGAAGAGAGTGTTTTCCAACAGACAAATAACCAAGCAGGATACTGAAGATAATGTGTGAGGGAGAAGCGTGTTCAGATCAGCAAGACCAAGTCACTAGCTGGTCTTTAAGCCCCCCTCTGAGGAGGGCTGTCTTTGGCCTGCTAATATTCAGTTATATCACATTTTCAAGCCTTGGAAAAATTCTGAAAGAGTAATTAGGGTATTAACACTGCGCAACTATTCATAAAAAACAGCTATAGACCATATATGTCCTAAAAGACCAGGTAAAAGCTGGAAAGGGTTTCAATCAAGAAATTAATAATAGGAATAGAATAGCTCCATCAATTTTAAAAAGAGAACAGTTGATCTCAGTGTTAACAAATTACCAGGCAAGTAGGTAGAGATAACTTGTGAGATGTAAGAAGCTTTTACGAAACTTACCTGAATGATGATTATATACACATACTATACCTGGCAGCTCTGGTCACTTGAAGGTTTGTCTTCAAGACAGAAGCTTCTGTTACCAACCTCCAAAATGCCTTGCACAACTCAGTGGCTCTATTTCTGGGATGCCTGCAGAACAGGGCTGAGATGGAAAGTTGTGGCTTTTCCAGAACCTTGATAACAGGCTTAACATAAGGCAGGTCAAAGGAAAGACAAACAAATAAAGAATGAATTTTTAAAAATCCAAATGCAGACAAGGCAGTTACGCAGGAGGTTACGGAGAGGGAAAGATGAAAAAAACCACCTTCCAGTTATCTATTGAATCTTTTATTGTCTCCACCTGTTAGATGACTCACCCATGCTACTGAAACTCAACCCTGTCAGGTATTCAAGAGCTCACTGTGCCCTTGCTGGGGTGGTGTGGTGAACATCCTATACATGTAGTTCTGTGTAGAGCCTCCTTATAGGCCGCAGCTTAAATTTCATAGGAAACATACCTGACATTCGCACTTACACACTGCATACCTGCACAAAAAGGCCATGGCTTATTTCTGCTGCTTGTTTCAGTCTGCAGGAGTAATTGCCACTCCTGGGGTGATACTAGGTCCTGGACACTGAACTCCAATGCTGTTTCTGAGAGATGGCATGGCTATACCGCCAAACGCTCTCATACAGAGAAACTACCATGCAGGATCATTTTGAGAGTACGTGAAACTGGCTGACAGGGTTTTTTAAAAGTGGTGAGTCATTATTTAACAGGAGCATTCTTCTGGTCTTCCACAGGGACTGGTATTTCAATTTATTTATTCGGTGATTACATAAAAGTGAATCAAAACTGATTAAAAGTTGTGGATGACAAAGAATGGTGAATAATAAGGATATAGCAGCTCTGGAATGTGATTTAGATTACTTGGTAAGTCGAGCACATTTAAATATTTCAGAGCAGCAAATTGCAAATTATACTTAAGAGCAAGAAATACAAAACACAGTCGTAACAGTCTGGCAAGCAGTACTGCTAGGAGCATCGAGAGATCACAATAGATGGGTAACTCGACTATATTTTCCAGCGCAATGCTGCAGAACAGCTCATTTTATCTTTGAATATTTAGACAGAAGGACAATGGTTGAGAGGAAGGATGTGATTGTACCACCAAGGTGGTATTAGAGAGAATGATCTGGACACGCAGTTCTGGTATCTACAGCGGAAACAAGACATCGAGAATTCAGAGACAAGCCACAGAAGTGATTTGAGAAACAGAGAAAATGCCCTACTGTGGAGGACATGATATCATCCGGTTAGGTGGTGAAAAATACAATTGAAAAGCGATTTGACTGCTGTGTTTATTACCCTCACAGATAGAAAATTATAGCAAGAACCAACGGCAAAAAGTTGGCTTCTCCCTGGGCCTGCCAGTTACAGGTTTCAATGGCTGAGATTTACCAGAAGGCTGCAGCTGACAGAGAGAGAGAGGCAGCAGTAATGGGATGGAGATTTGGAGGCAATGAACCAGACACTGTAGTTAGCAATAACTATCTGTAGCCACAAGGTAGGTTTCAATACCATTTTTCCACAAAAATGAATGTTAAAAATCTAGAAACATACCACACTTTTCTTTAAAATTATCTTCAAACACTCAGGATTTATTAGAAACTCAGGAAAATTAATGAAGTCATGTAATCTACAAATATCATAATAGCAATCATTAGTATTTTCTGGCAAGCGGTGCTATAGTGTAATATAAACCTCCTTATTTAGTATTTCACATCAGCAGCCAAAAGCAGTTGATTATTTTGCAATCTTAATCTTAACAATTTATTGTACTTTTCAATTTTCCATGTTTTTTGATGCAAAACCCGAGAAATGAATTCATCGCTTTCATAGGACTTAATTATTGTCATATTCTAAGGAACAGTACAAGCTGTTACTTCCCACAGATAAACCTTCCTTAAACTAAACTGGACTTGCCGGAAAAAAGTAAGTTGTGAAAAATGTTGCTCTCCCACAACTGCCCTATCCTACCACTTTTAAATCTGTCTCCTTGCTAAGGAGGGTAAAGGACAACAGATTGTGTAAGGTTTTGTTGCGCCTTTTCAAGAGCCAGAAACTGTCACCAGTATGTTGCTCTCATTTTTTTCTATTGCACAAAAACCTCTTAGTTTTCAGAACTACACACATAGTCTCTCTTACTAAATATGGAAAAAAACATCAGTGAAGTCTTATTTAATAAAGGCCTAAAACCTCAGAAATGTAATTGCCTAACATAGTTCTTAATATGCATAAAAAATACATAGTAATGAGGTCATTTACTAGCCAGCATCATGTTCAGTAATAAATACAAGGTTCTGCATTTGAAAAGGTGGTGGGGTGGCGGTAAAATGCAGGTCTGTGAGTCCTGCAGCAAAAACAAGCCTGTGGGTTTCAAATGCAAGTTCCTATGTTGAGAGAGGTCCAGTGGGCACATTTTTTCAGCAAAAAATAAATTTATAAAGCACAGTTTGCATAATTCTCTAGAGATTTGCTAAAGAAGGAGGATCAAAAGCAATGATATGATCACATTCTACTCTAAGGATGTACGCAAAATAACCCAGAAAACTGAAATAGCAATGGATGTCAGAAAAATATGGATTCGAGTCATGAAAAAAGAACAAAAAAACCCCCATGTGCACTGTACCTAAAAAGATGGCGCAAGTAAGGTGTTAAAATTGAATTCCTTATTTTCAAAACCTCTTGAAGAATGGAATATATATTGTAATTTTGTAAGTCATCCTATCAAACTTTCAATGCTCCGACTGAGCTCTCCAATAGCTGAGGAGACACCAAGCTTTTACAAATACCTTTACTGGAGTATTTAAGCAATTGGCTCACAGTTGTACATAATTTTGCGACAGTGTGTGTATAGGCACAAGTCAGCGGGCTGAGAACCAGTGAATAGAATCATGTGCACAGGGGAAAATCCGAAGCACTGAAAGCTCCTCCTATTTTAGGCTAGGGGTTCAGTAAAACAAAGCTAAGTATAGCTGCAGGATGAGAGTGGGAGCTGACAAAGCAAAGAGGAAAATGGCCATCTTTGAAACCTGATTAAAGAGGTCGCTTCCACCGTGGAGAGTTTAGGCTGGCAGTGCATATGGATTCTGGAAGTCTTAAGTACCAGTCCCTGCTAAAAACTGAACAATACAGAGATTTCAGCTTCCATTCACCTGCCACAGTCAAGTATTTTCATTTCCTTTTAGAGGGAAGAGGAAGAACACCAAATTGCAACAGGGATTCAGACAGAGAAGTAAAAGCTTCTACAAAACACATGCAGAAGAGGAATCTGAACCACTCCCACATCTCAATTAATACTTTAATCACTCTGAATATCATTAACACCACCTTGGTTTTTTTTAGAAGCCTGATCTCATCAGCACTTTCACAGGAGTGCTTGTTTTGAGTATTACACCAGACTGCATGTGAAGCAGCATGAAAATTCAGGTGGTCTTGAGTAAGAAAAACACTGTACACAGCTCTAAAGGATTGATAGGGTAGATGAAGTGGTATTTGAAGTCTGAAGAGCAGCTGACATTAAAACACAAAGTGCAAGATCTTTATAAGGGTTTAAGCCCTTCTTAAATACTTCTACTGTTATTTCCTGTGCAACACACAAATATTTAGAGTAGATTCAAAAATATTAGATTACTGCTTCTATTACTAGTACAACTCAAATAGTGGATTTTGAGATTCTATGTTGCTTATCTTGAGAATGCACTTGGCCCAAAAGTTGTCGCTACACTCAGTAGCTACCTACCCAAGTCCTTCCAAACACAAACCAGCAGAATTTACAAAATGTCCTCCATTTCCATTTCTTACTGCTGTCTCTGTAAGAGGTTTACAGATGGAACTGTTGTAGACCATGCTACCAGAAATAATGCTTCTTCATTAGAGATGAACAGAGTAAGACGCTATATCCTACATGTTTTTTATCACAACTTTGTATTAAAAAACATATGAAAGGTATAAATACACGCCTCAAACCAAACCACATTTATTTCATCAGTCACAAGTGCAAATGTAGCAACAAATCAGTTCAGCAAATTACAACACACAAATGTAATGTAAATGCTAAGTACACTGAAAGACCAACTTCAAAAGAGCAGCAAAAAACAGTTTCTTCAAATAAAAACTTCTATTATTTTTACCTGTAATCTAAAATAACATAATAAATCTAGATCAGGAATGTCTCTGCTAACTCATGTTTAGCCAGGTATTCTGTTATTAACAGTTCGCATTATTTAATGTGCAAATGGCCTGTCCAAGCTTCCTGTTAACAAATGTTTTGGTTTTAAGCAACTTTTACACAATATTTAAATAATACAGTGCTGATACCAGTTAATATGTTCTGCTATTTGATAATACAAATTTAAGAATATATATTTAAAAAAACTAAGTCCAATTTCAGTGTACATATATAATTCTACCTGGATCCAAAGTGGGCAACAGTAAAGATAAAATTGAATTTGTTTCCCCCCGCCGCCCCCCAAAAAATGGATAGACACAAGTCATCTCAGTTTTTGCATCATCTTTAAATCTGTAGTTAAAATATATGCAGTACTTACGTATAAAATAGAAAGCATTCCCATTAGGAAGATACTGCAGTGTAATTAGCCGTTTTTCCCTACCACTTAGTAGCCAAGGAACAAGATTTATGCTTAACACCTGATCACTATTTTGCTTTACAGAAAAGCAAAAGTTGACTACCAGTATTAGCATCAGAATTTTTACACTGAAAATTTAGTTAGCCTTCTTCTTCGTTATGAGTTGTTGCTTCTTCTCTTTTTCTTTATAGGCAATGAATTGAGAGTCTGTACCAAAGATTCTGTCCCACCACGTGAAGGTTGAAGCGTAATTGCCGATAAAGTTCATGTGATGGAAATCATGAAAACGGGCCCCAGCATAGAAAGGCACCAAATGAAGAGGGTTCAGTGGAACATCATAGCCACTACAGGGGAGGGGGAGAAAAAAGCAACTATAGTAAGGTGTTTTCCCAGATATAAAACACAAAATATAGACACTAACTTACTGTTTTTATAAAATGAAAAGACTTTTTTTTATCATAAGGCCCTGAGGTAATCACTGTAACACTGGCTTAATAGGAAAACAAGATCCCTCCTATCCTAGCCAAATGCTTCTGTAAACTATCCCACAATGGCTTTGCCACTTGCTGAGCTTTTCAGGTCAGTTTATTAGGCAACACAAAAAAAATTTAAGCAAGTCACCTAAAAAATCGCAGTGGCCGACTTCCTGCTGGCTTAGCAGCTTTAACTGACTCAAGAGTGACGTTAGGAAGGAGGAACAAGAAATAACACTATCTTTTAGTGACAAGCTATGAACATCAGCTCAGCTGCTCATCAAACAGCATCTCAAATCAACTAGAATTGTAGTATTTCTACTCTTTTTTTCAGCTTACTCCAAGTTCTTCAAATGTTTAAAATTCAAAATATACGACTGAAGTAATATTAAAACCAGAACAGTTTGCTTTAGAGGGATTTCAACTCTTGCTTAGTAGTACTGGAAAGCATCTTACTACCACCTAGTGGGGACAGCGGAAGATAGTTTGTTATGAACACCTCATTTGGACAACAAACTAAAATGATAATCATCAAAAGAGATTCATACTTTGCATCAATTACTTGATGATGTCACAACATATACTTCTCAGTCTACAACCAATATATAACTAAACCAGCAAAGATGTGTACGATGAGTTGGTTAGTAGCTCATGTTCCACTAAAACACTCGACACTCAGCTTACAGTAAGACACTATATGCTTCATAATATAGTTACACATACAAGGTCAAGTGTAATACTAGCATTTCAAAAATGAACTCTGACTTTCCCCTTCCTCTCAAACACAGGAAAGAAAAGCTCATTCATTCGCAGATGAACCCAACTAAGCCTACTGGGATTTGTGCTAGCATTTCAGAGCCAAATTTGAAAGAAGTCAGTTACACTACAGGGACAAGAAGTCTTGCCCTTTGTACCTACCATAAATAAATAAATAAAAACTATTATTTAAATAAATTATTTAATAAAAACTATTATTAAAAACTATTTATTTGTTTTTTTAAAAGACAGTCAGCAGTTGTATAGCCTAAAGTTTCTCTCGTCCGGGAAAACTGGCTGGCAAAGTATTAAATGGAGAGAACTCTTGGCTGGAATATCATATTTTGTAATTAATTTTTGGTGTTCTAATATGCGTAAGGTCACTTGTACACCAAATATCAAGAGCCAGACATCTTAATGAGGCACCTAGCTTCTGAAACCCTCCTCGAGATGCTCTAGCTATGGTCTACACTCTTTTAATCAGCAACATTTGCTATTAACACTACCTCAAAACAGAAGACAGTGTAACTGTTCAGATTGTGTCATTCTTTGTAAGATGCATAAAAGCATTTCAGTGCAAAATAAACAGCAAAGCTCAGTAAAAGAGACAGGTAAGTTTGAGACAGACTTAGGGAGAAGAGAAAAAGCAATTATTAAAAAGCAGTAAGAATTTCACCTGTGTACGTCAATGGTTTCCATCAAGCGACATATCACCCATGCCCACAGAAGAATCACATGGTTACAGAAAACAACAATTCCAATAAAAAAGCCAGTTCCAAGGATAAGTGTTTCCAGAGGATGTGCGTATTCTGCTTGCATTCCAAATGGAGACTAGAAAGAGATAACAGACAGGAAAACAGTCACCATTTTCGATTTTCTATACCCCCAAATCAGAATCACCATTTTGTGGTACTCTCCCCATCACCCCACAAGACTACAATAGGACAATCGAAATGATGTTGTGGGTAAAGGCAATGACTGAGCAAGGGCCTTAACACAGGTGTTCAGATCCTCATTGAGAAAACAGAAGTATTCCAAGGTCATAAGGATTATCATTCCACTAGTGATTCCAAACACTTCACTACTGGTTGAAAAGTTGAAAACTTTTATTTAGGCTTACCATTACCCAAGGCCAAAGCATTATTTCAGGAATATTAAAAGTGTTTGGGAAGCTCCTATCAGCTTTGCTATACATCCAGTCTTGGAAGCAGAAGAAAGAAGGAAGCTAAAATATTCTCAGAGTCAGGATTCACTTAGAAATTTATTTTAAAAATAATTAAAAAGCCCCCCTCATCTTTGACAATTTTTTAAGATAAATTCTTACTGTTCAAATATTATTATGCGATTAAAATAAAACATTTTCTTTTCTTTATATAGGTGTGTTGTTTTTTTTTTTTAAATATATACACACACGCACAACCCCCAGTCCTACATTTGGTTTACAAAAAAAAGAAATTCCATGGAGAGTTTTCAAAAGTAGACCACCATAGAAAGATAGTAATTAAAAAAAAATTAACCTAATGCTCAAGGTTATAAGTTTGATTATCAGGGGAAAAAAAAAGTCCACTTCGGCTTAAGGGCGATTTTAAAATCATCACGTTTTAGTATCAGGGCAAGTTTTTAGTGAAACAGCCATTAGCCTACAGATCACTTCCGTGTGAACTGCTAACCACGCAAGAACAATGGCCAGAAGCTGCTCCTGCTAGAGACCTGAGGGGCTGCCAAGAGCAAGAGGAAGACAGCGGCTGCTGCTGCAGATGTACATACATATGCATGCATCAATCGGTACCAAGCTTCTCTATGATCGCCGCCTATATAAACCACCCCTGACCCAGTAGCTTGCGGTTTACCTTAGGCACAGTATGGGTTATACACTGAAACACAGCAGTAGACAAACACAGTAGCACTGACTTCTGTGATCCAGAGACAGTGCCATCTAAATACAGCCATACCATCTATAAGGTATAAGCACTGCTGGACCCTACCTGGCTCAGAACAGTGCCACCTCCAGTCAAGCATGGCTCATTACCTTGTGCTCAAGGTCAGCTCCAACACCGCAGAATGCAGAACCACCCAAAAAATCTCTGTGCTGCACAGTGCTCTCGATGCACTGGCTATATTGCTTCAAGTGGCCAATATCCAAAGCTATAATCCTTTCCTGAATCATATATCCTGCACATACCACACACACACCCAGGCCGTGCAGGAGCCACCTGCCTGGATCGTGTTCTGGGGATTAGTACGCTCTGGATAACACCCTAGGTGGCGGAGAATTGATGAACAGTCAAAATCAGACACCCACCATTTCCCCCCTCCCCTAGCAATCAAGCACGTAACACACTTTTAAAAGCTAAGCTTGCTTTCACCTAGCTCAACAGATATGATCAAACTTCAAGAGTTGAGTGCCACCCTTCATTCCCATTAAATGAAATAAAATTACAGGAGGTATTTTCAGAAACAAAATGGATGACTGTTCTTGAAAAAGAGCTCAAGAAAAGACATCTATCCCACTGTCAGAGGGATGCAAAATTATTAAGGCTTTCAAATAAGACCTTTAAGTAAGTTGTGTGAAACCACATATACTAAAAACTACTAAAAAAAAAAATAATCAAGGAATACATACAACAAACTCATGGTGAACCTTATGGATATACTTGTATATTCTCTTGTGATGCAGCAATCTATGCAGGAAATAGTGCCAAGCATCCTCAATCACTGCACATCCAAAACACTGAGCAACCAGAACATACCTTTAAAAAGGAGAAGAGCTATTAGTTATAGAATATACTAGCAGACACACAATCTTGAAAGATAAAAAAAGTTATATGACAGTAAGGGTGGGAAACGTTTATGTATATTACTGATTGAATAACATTGCATTGACACGACCTTTTTAACATACTAAAAATATTAATTGCCAAGCACATTAGTCCTTGTACCTATCAGCTCATCTGTTGATACGCTGAAGTAAATTAGCATGCAGTATAAACAGTCATTTTAATACTACAGTTTATAAAGAACATCTGTAGACTGTGTAAGATGTAGATATAAAAACATAGAGCTGTATCAGCTATCTAAACCAAATAGAGAATAATTTCCAAGAAACATGAGCTTCTGTTGTAAAGAACAGCTATCAGGAAAAAAAAAACCCAAACAAAACAAACAAAACAAAAAGGCATTTATAACTAATTCAGTTCTGTTTAAAAGTCTATCAGTTTAGTGCAAAAAAGGATAATGTGAAGCAAGTGGTACAATTCTCTCTCTTGAGGAACACACTGCTGCTATGATATAAAACAAGGTGGAAGGAATCAAAAAATGTTGGATTAAAAAAACCCAGAAAGTCCAATATTTAACCCATGCCATGAGGAATCTTGCTTCACTTCCTTAACTCCTTCCTAATCCCCCCTTTTCCGAGTATCAGAACAATTTGGGGCCATTTAAAAAAAAAACCAAAACCTAGAAAGCTCTAATTAGCTCTCATAGCAGTTAAGCATCAACAGAAGCAAGATTAACAAACACTGTTCATATCACCAAAAAATTATTGTGTATTAGAGTTGAAGACACTATTTGTTAAATATTCTGCCTCCAACTATATATAACTAGCATCAACATACAAGAAAAAGCTACCTACCATCTAGGCATCTCTTCCCACTCATACGGGATATTAAAATACTCTGTGAAGTAATAGGTGCCACAAATCAGAGGAAGCTGAATGAAAAAGTGATTGAAGAGGAGTGTTTTGAAACACTTCCACTGTTTTTCCCATGTTTCTGGTTTATCCTAAGAAGAAGCAAAAAGAATCAGTTGTGTTACGTACTTCTATTGCACATAACTGAAGTGCTGCAAAAATTACTTTGGAGGCAGTTTCATTTTCACCTTGGAAGATAGATAGCAGGTCCTCCCACAATACAAGTTAACTCAGGCAATACAAATTACATAGGATTGGATTCAGTTTCATCAAAACCTCTTGTTTTTCTAAGCTAGCTTTCTGTAAAATTTAAAGTAAGACTCTCTTAACAGAGGTTGTCTTTGCCAGTCGCCCCAAACTATTCTTGTTATTTCAGTGTTTGTAATTAGCAGGAACATTTCATATTCAACAGTTTAACACAACTCTAAGTTTGTATTTCCATAGCTAAAATAGTAGAATGTATTTCCACAGCCAAAATAATACAAAGAGAAGCTGAAGATACAAGCTTGTGAAGAAATAAGCTGTCTTGAAAACATCCAGTTTTTGCAGGGAGACATTTTACCAATTACTGTAATAATTTCAGAAGCTGGTATTATTAATTTCTAATTCATATCACAAGGAACTGGGGAAAAAACAATCATCTTTAGATATTAGATGTGCCTTTCCTACCAATTAGTAGTGTGCAGTCCATCCTAGGCTTTCTCCATTGTTAAAATACTTCAAAATCCTTTCAAGAGGGTGTGCATAGAGATACTTTGAAGGAGATGCTTGCTATTAAATAAGCGCACCATGTAATTCTTTCATAATACTAAGACAGACCTCTACCACCAGATGCTGTGATTCTACTATACCTTCCCCTGCTGATACATTAACTTACATGGAGAAAATTTAACTTTGCTACCATAGAGATTGACACATCCTTTTCTCTCTATACCATCATGGTGGAAACGATACCCTCCCTCAGAAATAACTCCCTTTCTTCCCCAAAATCCACTTCTCTTTCTCTCCTCACATACATTGTAATTTTGCTCTATCACTTCCAGGAAGTCCACAGTGATAGAGGAAACGGGGTCATATAGATTGGAAGCTAGGGTACTGCAGTTTTATGTTCTACTTCACATATTCAAAAACAAATCAGGAAGCGTGTAGTTCACAACTTTGTCTTACCTGCTGAATTTTATACTTTTGCATGTACGGTATAAACTGGAAGACAAATCCAGGTACACAGAGCAAGAAGTATGAAACTTCATGAACTATAAGTGATCCCCAAGTTGCAATCTGGAACTTTGTGTAGTTATCCAGCATGTAATTCCAGGCATTTTTAAATGGTTGCTGCAAGGGATTGTCAGGCAAGAAAGAGTCTATGTATTCCACCGCCAGATAAGCAGAGTTCAAGATATTAACGCTGTCGTTCATTGTCATTGTTCAAACATAAAGCATCACAATTACAGTTCTTCTACAGTTGTCTATAAGTAACCTGAAAATTTTGAGAAAAATCGAATAAACAGCAGTTAATCTTCAGAAAAAAAACATTACTTATCTTAGTTGTTACCTAGTTTTAAAGCAAAAACAGGGAAGGGAAAGGAAAGACACATTCTCTTTCTACAGGATAGTGTAAAAGAACAAAGCTTAAGATTGGTTTGAGAGGCAAGCCAATTTGAGAGGCAAACAGCTCTCAAGTTTTGAGATTAGGTCAAGGGAGCAAAAGCATAAAGAAATATTAATTACTACCCAACTTTATTTCAAGTCTTTTGCAGGATAATTGTATTCTGTACTAAAAGAGCACAGAAAGGTTCAAATCAGATTTAGAAGTTAAATTAACCGTGATCTCCTGATTATCCAGCCTCATTCTCACAACTGTGAGCTAGAATCCATGCAAACTACATCAACACAGCAGACTACCTTTAGACGGCAGCTGGCTTGAGACAATCCACCTTTCCATAAGTAAACGAGTTTTCATCACAGCTCCCGAAAGCATAGAGGCAGCATTCCCGCAGGTGCCCAGAACTTCTGCCATTTCCACAGACTAGGCTGCTTGTTGGTTTGGGCTGGACCTTTAAAGGTCATCTAGTCCAACCCCCTGCCATGGGCAGGGACATCTTTCACTAGCTCAGATTGCTCAGAGCCCCGTCCAACCTGCCCTTGAACACTTCCAATGATAGGGCATCCACAACCAAAGAAGCGCCCATCCACAACTTCTTTGCGCACCCTGCCGCAGCATCTCACCACCCTCATCCTAGAAAATGTCACCCTTATGTCCAATCTAAACCTACCCTTTTTTAGTTTAAAGCTATTGCCCCTTGCCTTGTTGCTACAGGCCTTGGCAAAAAGTCTTTCTCCTTCTTTCATATAAGCCCCCTTATATACTGAAAGGCCGCAGTAAGGTGTTCCTGGAGCCTTCTCTACTCTCAGCTAAACAACCCCAGCTCTCTCAGACTCCCTCCGTAAGCGATGTGCCCTCTTAACATTTTCACGGCCCTTCTCCAGACACCCCCTAACAGGTCCATCTTTCACTCTAAAACGTGTGCGCAATTCACAGGCCAGAGGACGCTGGTTAGTCTCCAGCTGATACACTCAGACTAGGTCCAACATCAATAATGCACCAACCTCGGTACCCAACAACATTAGTTACCATTTTTCTTTCTTAGCAACAGCTTCAAGATGCTACCGTTTCTTATTGCCAGCAAATACATCATACCAGATACCATTTTATTAGCGGTAGATACATCACAGCAGATACCAAGGAGGCTTACAACCCCAGCTCCTGGGCTGTAAGGCTACTTACCCTCCCGAAAAAGCAGCCG